AGGCGGCTAGGTTAAAAAAACCTGGTGCTCTGATACCATATAGGAATAATAGAATAGGAGAAAGAGAGAAATAATAATACATAATATAATAGAAACCCCCATTGTGTTATGAGTTGATTACATGGAATATATATAGAGAAATATTGCAAGGTAATAGAGTTTGACTAGGTAACTAAATCCTAACTAATCTAGGTAACAGAATTATAATAGAATCCTAATATTACAAGAGTTATTATAATATAATATACTCTAATATATATATATATATATATATATATATATATATATATATATATTGAAAAAAGAGAATATGAATCATTTCTACCCAATTAAATTAATGTAAAAGGTAATGGAACATTGGTATTCATAAAAATAGAGAATTAAAGTTTAATTTCTAGGAACAAACTTCATAAAATTACTCTGTTCCACAATAACTGTCTCTTTTTAAAAATATTTTTTGTTCCATATTATCTGTCATTTTAGATTTTCAATACTGCATTAAATGCATTTTTCCTATTTTAACCTTATTAATGAAACTCTATTCATTAATTTTCTCTTATAAATCATTTGATAATAAAGGTTGTTTTAGTCATTTTCATATGATTTTTTTAAAATCAAAATATATTTATTGAGTTTCTTAATCTTTGTGAAAGGAGAAAAGTGATAATTATTTAGGAATGGAGGGAGTAGTTTCTAACTTTATTTTTTCTCTTTCTATATTATTAATTTTTCATTGATGTTAAGTAAAGTTGAATGATTACAAATTTATTTTACACTGAAATTAGGGTAAATTACGGTCACCACTGAATTAAGGTATAATTAAGGAAAAAAACCTCTTATGTTTGAGTAGGTACAAGCACCACCATCAACTATGAATCTTCTTACACGTCCAAGCTTGTGGTGTCAATTTTTTACGTAAGTTTCTAGATTATGTGGAATATTCTGCAGTTTGTACTCGTTTGACTTCATTCGAGATCCACATTTTGAAACAAGATAATCATAAGATGTGTCTTTTGGCTTGTAAATATTAGATTGTGGTGCATCACAAACTGTATTTTTGCACAAAACGAGTACAAATTAGAGAACATTTCATTGAATTTAGAAGATTCTATTGAATTTGACAGCATAATGATGTATGTGTAAAAAGATTCATAGTTGATGGGTGGTTGTAATTACCTAAACAATAGGGATATATTTTTTTTTAATTTGAACTTACGTCAAAGTGTCTCTAATTTAGCCATTAAATTATAGAACAAATATATAATATGAAATATATTTTTGTTTCTAAAAGCGTTACCTCAGGAAAAATATTCAATTCAACACTTATAGCCTTATAGCTATAGGTCAAAGTCATGAGTTATATAAACAGACAAAATACAGAAAATAGAAATAAAACATCTTGAGATGACAAAGTCCAAAATCCTCATTCACATCATATTAAACTAAATTAAAAGTTCAGGTCAAGATCAATAACAAAGAGGAAAAAACATAAAGAGAGAAAAATGGGAAAAAAAAACCATAAAGTCAACAATTTTGTAAAGGGGTTGTCTACATTTTCCTCTCTTGGAAGGTTTTCATGTGCAATTTTCAAGAACTAAAACTCTAGTTTTTGTGTTTAGGGGAAGTTTTATTTTACCCCTTCTATACAATATGTCTCACTTTACCTATTTTTGTACTCCCTATCACGTTAATCCTCTCAACTCAGTCGATTGTGTCAATCGACTATCTCGTCAATAACATAAACGTTCATCATATCGTCTAAGCAGCCTCAATACCGTTCACGAACATACATTCCCTCTCTCACTTATGAAATA